CCCAGTTTAGGATCTGGGCACAGAGAAACCTGCTGAAGATGGTACCAGTGCATGACACAGGCAGATGGAAAACTTCCTATGTTAGCTATTTGTGTCAGTGTTCCCAGCATTAGCTGAGAGAACTTTGTGATGATGTGAACTCTCCATGTGTGTTGTCTAATCCGGTGGCTGCTCACCACAGGTGGTTACTGAGCACTTTAAACGATGCTGTGTGACTGCAGAACTGTATTTTAAATTCTGTTTAGTTTAAATTTAATGTGGCGTGTGGCCACCACACTGGATATGCAGGTCTAGATGCTGACGCTCAGTGGAAGTCTTCTTGAAGGAGCTCCTTGTCAGTGATGGGGAAGGGCATGCAGTGTGCTAAGAAACCCATGTTATCCCATCCTCAAACAGCCTGTGAATGTCACACGGAAATGCCCAAATTTGGTTCCTACTTTCTGGAGACAAGCAGAAGTCTTAGGGAATCTACATGATTTCAAAGGGGGGTGGTAGGTGAGTGGTCCCTTTGTAAAAACTTGTTTCTGGCTTACAAATACTTCTTTCCTTCCACAGGCAGATACACATTGAGCCAAACCCAAACAACTGCAGGCTGACACGGACAGACAGGAAAAACATCAGGAAGGAGGGGGCCATTAGAACCGGAACTGTCCAATGTTTGAACAATAACCTGTGACTTTCCCTGGCCAGGGGAAACTATCACACTTTCAAAGTGTCCCCTGGGGTAAGAGCTTAGGCTGAAGAGAAATACAGACTGGGCCATACTCCTGAGTACCCTGGGCAGATTATTTACTCTAAGACAGTGAGTTCCTAAACCATGATCTGAAGAGCAGTATCTGGTACTGCAAGGTACTGACACATATACCACTAAAAAAAGGGGGGGAGGTTGTGACCTACTATGTTGGGGAAAATACTAAGTTAAATGAATTAGAAAGGTCTCTTTATTGAAAGACTTCTTAAAACCTAATACACCTTGACTGTTGGTAAGTGCAGGGGATGGTGATATAGGAGGACATAAAATATAAAAAACAGCACTTCCCAAACATTTCAGGCCAAAACATCCACCTGCTTTCCCCTAGTACTTTGCCTTTGTAACTCGCCAGCTTGGGATATACTTAGACATCAGTATTCTTTAGAATACAGGAATTAGGAAATGCTGCTAGAGGCACCTCAATATTATCATCGGTAAACAGGGATAAAAATCTCTCTCTCTTCCTCTCTTGGGTTTGTGCAAGCTATAAATGAGATAATACTGAGGCCCTCAGAGACTGACACATAGTAGGTACACAGTAACTGTAGACTTCCTTAACCATAGACCTAGCAACAATTCTTCAACCCCTTCCCTTGTGAAGCAGCAACTCAGGAGTGTATAGCTACCACTAAAATACAATTTTTGACTTGGGAGTTGAGTCAAATTCCCCCAGATTCCAAGGAGTTTGAGAGGGTGAGAGAAGTAGTAATAACGGCATTAGAACAAGGGAGAAGTCCTGTGTTCTTTGGGGAAGAAGGCATGGGATATAGAAAAAGCTGAGTCTATACTAGAAAGGTGGAATGAAGGGGCTACAGAAGCCGTATTAATACAACTAATACACACATCTGGAAGTGACTAAACTCTAGAAACACAAACTCAAGACTGTTCAGAGAACTGTCAGCTACCCTTTCAGAGAAAGTGACTTTCAAATTTATTCAACTGCAACTCATCGCAAGAAATGTATTTTATATCCTGACTCTCTAAGACAAAATTCTTTACTGTAAGAAATGTGCTTTCTTATATTGTTTGCGAGACTGTTAGAAAATAGTGGTCATGAGACCAGCAGATGGCATAATGGTTACATCACTGGACTCACACGTAGTTAACCATTTGCTGTTCAAGTTCCAGACTCAGCAGCTTAAAACTCATGCCGGGTGCGTGTGTGTGTGTGCCCAATATCTTGGGAGGAGTACGGAGGAGAGGAGATAGGGCAGGGCCATTCCCCCTGGGGGGGGGTGATTTCTCGCTTTCTGCTTCTCGGTCTCTCTGGTGAGCACACATGCCCTACAGCAAAAACATCTCTTAAAAAAAATGGTGGTCATAAAGCAGCCAAACTGACTTACAGTCTACTTCTGGGCTATGCTGAAAATCAATCCCTTGCTCTTAAAAGGGATTTGGGGCAAACAGGCCCCAAATGGTGGTTAAGGCACTGGACTCCCACATGGCAGGCCATGGCTGAATCCTGGACCCAGTGGCTTGAAACTCACACCAGCCATGTGTGCGCCCAAAACCCCAAGAGGAAAATAGTAGAGAAGGGATTGCAGAGTGGCCATCCCCTCTGGGGTGCACTTTCCCTCTCTGTCTCCGGTGAACACACATGCTCTATGGCAAAAACCTTTAAAAAAAAAAAAAAGAGAGAGAGAGAGAAAGAAAGAAGACTCTTGGGGAGTTAGATTATTTTTTTAGAATATTTATGGTCTAATCATCTGGAATATTATTCTGTAATAAAAAAGAGAGGGAAACATACTACTTCCATGTAGGACTTTAGCAGCCCAATACTTGTGCTCTAAAAAAACCAAAGGGGAAAAAATTAGTTAAATTGCAAACTGGTCAAAGTACAAAACTTAGGGTAGACTGTAATTATTCAAGGATAGACTGTAATTATTCAAGGGTAGACTGTAATTATTCAAGGATGTAATTATTCCTAGGGTAACCACAACAACAAAAATATAAGAATGATAACTGAGAACTCAATAGGAAAGAAAAGTGAGAATATCATTTTTTTTTTTTTTTGAGAATATGGATTTACTAAAGCTTAAGATAAAGATAGTTGTCTTTTTCCAACAGAGAGAATAATTCCGACTTCTGGGAGAATTTTAGCTTAGAGATTAAATATTTCAGATTAAGAAAAAAATTGAAACCCCTGGCCTTCAGGGGATTGATTTGGATTCCAACCCATAGAACAGAGGTTTAGAAGAGTAATCGAATAGACGGCTATTGACATTCTAGGAATAAGGTAAAACACAAGGAAGAGTTTCTTGTGACTGGTAGTTATACCAGATGGTAAAAATGTAAGATTCAGGGCCAGAAGGTGGAATAGTGGTTAAGGCGCTGGACTCCCACATGGCTGACCATAGTTCGAATCCTGGACCCAGCAGCTTAAAACTCACACGAGGTGTGTGTGTACATGTGCCCCAAATCCCGAGGAAAACAGAGGAGAAGAGACTGTCGTGTGGCCCACTATGGGGGGTGATTTCTCACCTTTAATCTCTGTCTCTCTCTCTCCTGCAAGCACAAGCACCCATCGCAAAAATCTCTCTCAAAAAAAGTCTCTCTCTTAATATCCAGATACTACAGTAAGGGCACCCAGAGCAATAAAAGGCTATATTCAAATTATATGCTTATAATTAATTAATACAAATTAAGTTATAATTAATTTGTATTATTTTAGGTCTCAAGAAAATTTGTTGCTGAATTCTAAGAGAAATATCTAAGGGTAGCACCAGAAACAAATACACTTATCATCAGTCTTGCCAACCTCTCTGCCCAAACCAAGATTTAAAACTCCCAAAGGAAAATAAATGTGTGCCAGAAATACAATTTATTATGAATGGTTTTTTAAAGTACTCTTTTCAGTTCTTTCAATTTATCTTGACTTTTTAATTTTGGTTAGAGGGCACGTGCACCTGCCAGAGGGCGAGTAAAGAAAGCATCCTCTATGGGGAATGCTTATTTCCCATTCCTTCTCCCCTCTCTCTCCCTCTTTTCAGGATTTGGGGCATGCATGCACACATAGCCAGCATAATTCTGGAGCTTTTAGGTTTGGAACTCAAACTGTGTAGTCAGGCATGTGGGATTTGGCTGCCTCAAATGCCAGGCCATAGAGCTGGCCCCATCATAACTTATTTAAAAAAGTTTGCTGAGAGAGAGACACACACAGACAGAGACACACACACACACACACACACACACACACACACGCACATATACACCCTTGCCGGGACTTACCTTTCCCATGATCCCCACCCAACCTTCTACCCAGCCAAGATCAGGATATGTCCACAGGCACACCTGGCATGGGATCTTGACTTAAGCCCTTTCCATGTGGCTCCAATATTGTACCACAGCGCCCTACTGCCTGCACCACCACAGCTGGGCCTGAATTTATCTTGACTCTGACATTTCTCAAGATTTGATCAGGCTAATTAACACTAGGACATTAGCTTTAAGAGTATATGGTCTTAACCAAATAAGGTAGTTTGTGAAAATAATAAGCATCATAAAGATACTACTATATTATAAGAATCCAACTGTGAAAGGGTAGAGATAATGTAGTCTTGTTTCAATAAAATCTAACATAATAAAAACCTAATAAGATTTTAAATTATAATGTAGTCCCTGTTAACTAACAAAAAGTTTCCCACACTCGAGGTTATGTAATTTTTCTTTTCTTTTTTTTTTTTTTTTTTTTGTGGAGACGTTTTTGCTATAGGGTGCATACGCTCGCCAGAAAGACAGAGACAGAAAGAGAGACAGAAAGCGAGAAATCATCCCCCAGGGGGATGGCCACACTGTAATTCCTTCTCCTCTCGGGATCTTGGGCATGCATGCATACGTGCCCAGCGTGAGTTGAAGCCACCGGTCCAGGACTTGAACCACAGTCAACTACATGGAAGTCCAATGACATAGCCATTATGCCAACTGCTGGTCCCTGAGGTTATGTAATTTTTAAAAAGAATTATTTTATTTAACTTTATTCATTTATTGATTTATTTTAATTTGGCCAGAGAGGGACAGAGTGAGAGAAAGAGAAAGTGAAAAAGCAAGCCACCAGGTCCAGGACCCAAATCGTGGTCAGCCACATGGGAGTCCAGGGTCCTTAACTACCATGCCACCAGTCAGCCCTGAGATTATATAATTTTAATATAAAAGTACATCCATGCTTGAAATTTAACCACTACTTTTTTTTTTATATAAAGAAGAACATTATAACCACACATAATATATATGTACATATATATTTTTTTACCTCTCCCAATGAGAAATAGTGACGTGGAATTTGGGAATCAGGATAAATATTCTCTAGATACCAAGAGAAAGGTTTGCATTGTAGTTTGTGTCTAAGACCGAGTCTTGATGATATATCGCCATAATCTACCTTTGTAACACCTGTTGAAAGAAAGAATGATTCTGAATTTCTAGTGTTTTTTTTTTTTCAGATTATGCACATTCATTTACATATAGAATCTAAACAGCCAGATAACTGAAAACAGCGGTATCACTCAGGTGATATTTGACTATCCAAATCATGTATCATAACTGTAAAGCAAGACAAAGCTATAAAGATGTGTTTTAATTTTTCAAAGGAAAACCAATTTGTGTAAGAACAAAATACATGCTGATAATATTATATACAAATTTAAGTTATATGGGGTCGGAAAACATTAAAATATGTTAAGGCAAAAACAAAAAAAAAAATCAAGATTTATTTTGCTCAGATATTCAATAGAACAATGTTTCCAGCCAGGTCTCTCACACAACTCACAGAACTGTGTACACTGCCACCCGACAGTCTTACAGTAGCTGAAAAATGAGGATGGAATAGCAATGTCAGGCAGGTTGACAGCTGAGAGAATGACTGCTCCCACAAAACTCTGAACAGCAGGGGGAAGCTCCTAGAGAGATGACCCTTAACGGATGTCACAGGGCTCTGCACTGGCCTGGTGACGCTTGACAGTTTGACAGAAGCCTTGTATGATGGCACTGAGGTCTGCTTAGGGAGAATGTAGCAAGTTGGATAAAGAAGCCTAGAATCCAGAAAACGTCACACAGGCTAGCAAAATGCCTAAAATTACCAAGGCGAAACCTCACAGGGATAACTGTCAAATGCTGTAATTCCATCAAAAACCAAAAAAAAAGGGAACATGGTTAACACATAAGACTAGTAGTACTGGCTTGGATAATTTGGTATTATTTGCCAAAGGTTCTACCATGAATTCCGCCAAGCGTTTTCTATAAAGATAGAGATTCCATTTGTTTCTAACAGTGACTTTGGAAGTATTCACTTCTGCTCAGAATTTCACTTCTACCCTTTTTACCTCCCCATTAGGATCAGGGACAAGAACAATATAGCTTTGTATTTCTTACACAGTGTAAGCTAACCTGGGGAAATTATATAGAAGAAATTCTTGAATTCATCCATCCATACTTCTGCAAGCCGTCTGTTGTTTTTATTGATAATCTGCCCTGTGCCTCCTGGAAACGTGTATGGTGTCGCTTTCCGAAACACATGTCCAACATGTGAGCACGTAACAATTTCCAAAGTTCCTCCACACTGCCAAATCTGAGAACAGCAGCAAAGAAGACCATATAAAACACTGTTGGCTAGCCAAGAAGTTCGTGAGTCTTCCCATGGCAGTTTTCTTTTCAGCTGAATAGGTGTTTGGTTTTTATTTAAACTTAAACGGCAGAACTTTAGTTGCTGGTGAAAACCTTGCAAAGTACCTCCATGCTACCAAATCTGAAAACAGCAGCAAAGATGACCATATAAGATAGTTAAAAAAAAATGCTGACACCTGTGGAGTCCCACAGTTAGAATCTTAGAGTCAAGGAGATACAGTGAGGTTCCTATTGTACAGTTACAAAGCCAGTGCTTCCTCAGGGGCCATTTCTCTGCTTTTGGGTTCTAATCAAACCAAAAATCGGAGATTAATGTAAAGGCTAACCTCCAGGCTAACCTCCATTAAAGGCTACATCCAGAAGAGACAGCATCAAGAACAGAACTGTTCTAAAGCAGGCCATGATGCCTGTGTGTGCATGTACTGTGTTTATTGATGTGGCCCATACTTAAACAAAGAAAAAACCGGCCACTGCAGTATCCAGACAGATTGTTATCTGTTTTCCCCTTTCCAAACGTGTGTCATAGCTTGTATGATAAACAGAATCAGCATCTAAACCGGATCCATCATGATTTCTTTGGTGAGAATAATGAGAACAAAAAGGGGGGGGAAGAAAGGTCAAGTCACATCCTGAATTTAATAAACTCCTTCAGTTCCTTTCAAAATATATTCCCTCCTTCTAAGTTAAAAATTACATAACTATTGGGACCAGCAGTTAGCGTAATGGCTATGTCGTTGGCCTCTCACGTAGTCTACCGCGGTTCGAGTCCCGGACCCGGTGGCTTAAATTCACACCGGGCGCATGTGCGTGCGTGCCCAAGATCCCGAGAGGAGAATGGAGGAGAAGGGATTGCGGCATGGCCATCCCCCCTGGGGGGTAATTTCTCGTTTTCTATCTCTTTGTCTCTGTCTGGCGAGTGCATGCACCCTATAGCAAAAACCTCTCAAAAAAAAAAAATTACATAACTATCTATAATTAAAATCACGTCTTAAAAAGTTTTCATTTTTGTTACATATTCAATATTTCCCTTCCAAGTTTCCCAGGATCATAAAGCGTTAGAGCTGGGAAGGACCGCAAGAAGATCTAGAGCCCTATCCTCACTTTTTTAAGAGTTCAAAGTAATTCACTGGGAAGAAAGTGAGCTCACTGGTTCAGATTTCAGTGTACTATCAGAGTGGTTGTCACTACTATAATAAGCTATGCACCCTAAACTGGTATCGTGAGGCTGGCCCCTTAGTACTGCAGTTAAAGGAGTGAGATCCCACATGGCTGACTGTGGTTTAAATCCCAGCCCCCAGGGGCTTAAAAAACACCCTGGGCATATGTGCATGTGTGGGTGTGTCCAAAATCCTGATGAATGAAGAAATGGAGAAAAGGATTGTAGTATGACCATTTATCACTGGGCAGGGGCAGGGGGGTTCACTCTCTTTTTCTCTTTTTTTCTCTCTTTCTCTCTCCCCACCTCTCTTCCTGGAGAGCTCCTCTCCATGTCACATGTCCTCTGACAATTAAAAAAAAAAAGGGAAACAAAATGATTATTTGCAAAAAATATATGTCATCTAAATATTTTTATTTCAGTGACCATGAAAGGCGAGATTTTTATATAATGTTGACTGAGTTCAATTAATTTAGATCCAGTCCATTTCAGAATATACTTTCCTTTAAAAACAAAATTACTATAGGGCATGTGCTTGCTGAGGCGGGGAGGGAGAGGGAAAGTGAGAAAGTATGCTCCCCGCCCCCACCCCCCAGGGATTACCACACCACAATCCCTTCTTCTCCATTCCCTCGGAATTTGCAGAACACACACATACGTGCCTGACTGTGATTTTTAAGTTGTAGGGTTCAAGAGTCAACTGTGCAGTCTGTCATATGGAATCCAGTCACCTTATCCACTATGCCATCTAGTTTGGCCCTGCCATTTCCTTTTTACTGAAAAATATAAAGCTGGCAAAGTGACTAGGCTTTACAGAATAATTTTTATACCAGAAGGAAAAAGCCCATTATAGAATGTGAAGTTAGTTTTTAGCGGTTAAGTACCAGAGTAGCATATACAAACTACATGTTATTTTTGTTTTTTAGAGCTTAAATTACTTCCTTGCCAATAGTGGAAATTACAAACTGTTAGGGAATCTTATGTACGTTTTATAGCTAGATTATTAAGATAACTAAATTGTTTGCTTAAATAGTTCAGAAATAAATCCTTAATAGTACCACCAAACTTGTTATGGACCAAAGGCTCTGAAGTCAGATTCAAATCATATTGAACTCAGTTTCTATTTTTTATTTAGTATGAATAATCAAAGTACATCTATACTTGAGGTTAAATAAAGTGTTTTTTGTTTTTTTTTTTTTCCAAAGGGAACTTACCCTAAAGGAAATTTCTAGGTTTTCTCCTCCCCAAATATCCATTCCAGCATCATATGTTCCAATTTCCTGAAAGTAATCTCTGTCTATTGAAAAAAGGCCTCCTGCCATTGTAGGTGTCCTGAAATTCAATTATAACATTATATCATTAATTTGAACACTTAAAAATTACAGTTTTTGTTTTAAAAAGTAGTTTTATAACTGCTCACAATGACAGAATAAATATTGTTCTCACAATCTTCAGAAACTTTCCTAGGCTCCCAGGACTTTGTTGTTGGGTCTTCAGACATCCCCTGCCCCACGGTCATGATGTATGGGACCCACTGTCACAGCTTCTGCCAGACAGCCCTCTCTGCTACAGTCCTAAGAGCGCCTCCTATTGTTATTGACCCTTAGGTTCTGACTGGGTTTCCACCTCAAACTCCTTAAATTGAAGCTATTCCATGTACTCCTACCTGAATGTGTATCCATGTCCTTTGTTCTTAGCAATATAAAGTTCCTGGTCATATAAATATTTGACTATCTTAATCCACTTGGTCAGGTTAGAGATGACATGCAGTTCTAGAGGTGGGCAGTACTGTAAAGGCATTTGATTTAACAGGATGAAAATAACAAGGCTAAATCCCTGTACCTACTAAGAACCTTTAAAGAAGGGAGAGATGATGGATAGAATAAAACCAATATATTCTTTGTAAAGTGGATGGTCATTCTCACCACATGTGGTATCTTTTCTGCAATAGTGGAGCCCAATTCATCAAAACACAGTCAAGATGTACAGAAAGGGTAGGAAAACAGGGATCTTTAAAAAGTTTGTGGACAAGTGGAATTAATATAAAAATACAAAAAAGATAAAAATATAACATGTAAACTTGGCTTTTCCACATAAGCTTTTCAAGTTTAAGACATTTTTTAAGCAATAATACTAACCATTTAGTCTATCCCTAAAAAAAACCAAAGGTCTTAGGAATTTAACCATGTAAGTCCAGTCTTTTGTACATTATTAACTGAAGAAAAATTGGTACTTCAAAGATTTATTTTTTTAAGATTAGGAAGCACACACACACACACACACACACAGGCAGAATTAGCCAGATGGGTAGTGTAGGGTGGATATCTAATAATTTCCCACTGAAACTCATAAAACTGCCTGTTTAGTGAGAGGAACAAGCAAGACTGTTGTTATACTTGAGAAAGACTCTCAGGTAAAGCTTTCTAGGGTGTTTTCTTGTTAAAGCTTTGGCAAACATTCTCGAAACACTCTCACAAACAGATGTTATCATGCCCTGGCCCTTTAAAAAGTCAGCAAGCAAAATGCCTTGAGCATCTCAAAAAATTGCTGCCATGACCTTTGTTCTTAGCCAGCGTTTTTGCTTTGTATGGCCCAGGACCACTTCCACCTCTTGGTAGCCATTGGTTTGACTGTGCTTTGACTTCAGGATCGTACCGGTAAAGCCAAGTGTTATCCCCTATAACTCTTCAAAGAATGCATCAGAATCTGGATTCCCCTTGTTGAAAAATTCCACTGGAAGCTCTGCTATGTTCTGTAGCTGGTGTGGGAGAAATACTGGCAAGCACTAAGCAGGAACTCTGCTCAACTTTAATTTTCAGTCAGAACTGTGTAAAGTCAATCAGCTGAGATGTCTATGGTGTTGGTTATTGTTTCTTTTGTTAACCATTGGTCCTCTTTGAATAGGGCACAAAAAAGGTGATTTTTTATTTTTCTCATGAATTGATGTGGATGGTCTGCCACTGTGGGCCTCATCTTTAATATCATCTTATTCCTTGTTTCTAGAAAGATCTTTGCTATAGGACATGTGTGCTCACCAGCAAGACAGAAAGGGGAACAGAAGGAAGAAATCACCCTCCAGGGAGGATGGCCATGCTGCAATCCCTTCACCTCCTTTCTCCTCTTGCGATTCTGGGCATGCACGCACACGCGTCTGGCATGACATTCAAGCCTCCAGGTCTGGGACTCAAACCATAGTCAGCCATGTGGGAGTCCAGCAACGTAACCATGCCGACTTGTTGTTCCCATTATCTTTTTTTTTTTTTTTTTTTGAGAGTGTTTTTTAAATTTTTTTTGCTATACGGCATGTGCGCTTGCCAGAAAGAGACAGAAAGCGAGGAATCACCCCCCAGGGGGCATGGCCACGCTGAAATCACTTCTCCACTCTCCTTTTGGGATCTTGGGCATGCACACACATGCTCCTGGCATGAGTTTAAGCCACCAAGCCCAGGGCTCAAACTGCAGTCGACTACATGCAAGTCCATCGACAAAGCTATTACACCAACTGTTGGTCCCCATCCCAATCATCTTATCCTTTCTTAAAATGAGTTACCCATTTGTATCCACTTGGCACACTGTCCCCATAAACTTTTTCTAAAGTGTCTATGATTTCACCATTCTTCTACCTAAGTTTCACCATAAATTTGTTTGTTCTTGCTTCAATTTCAACAGAATTCAGCTAGCACTGATAAGGCCTCTTTTCTAACTGATGTCTTATCCTTTTTAGCGCCTTAAAGTACATCTGTTCAGACATGTTTAACAAGTTAGCACAAGTTTATTTTGATGTGAAGAATTTCTAAATTCTTTGCGTAGTAATGTTCCATAAACTTTTGTGAAGACTTACTCATAGGTGGGATTAAACACAAATAAGATAATGAAGGAGGATTTAAATAAGTGAATAATTTTCAGAGTGAGTATGAAGGAAACATGGATTCAAAGCAGCAGGAAACAACTCAGTTCCAGGTACTGAGGATATTATAAGGATCACATTTCTTTCTTTCTTTCTTTTCTTTTCTTTTTTTTTTTTTGGAGAGGATTTTGCTATAGGGCACGTGCACTCGCCAGAAAGACAGAGACAGACAGAAAGTGAGAAATCACCCCCCCAGGGGGGGATAGCCACGCCAAGATCCCTTCTCCTCCATTCTCCTCTCAGGATCTTGGGCACCCATGCACACGCGCCTGGCGTGAGTTTAAGCCACTGGGGCTGGGACTTGAACTACGGTCAACTACATGGTAGTCCAACGACATAGCTATTATGCTTACTGCTGGTCCCGAGGATTACACTTTAAGATGAACTGGCTATCTGTGTAACCCTAAGATGTACTTGAGCCCATGTCTTGGTGAGGCATTTGTCTTTCCAGTGACAAGAGTTATTTCCAAAAAAGGCTTAGACTTATTTGGTTTTACAAGAGAAAAAACTCAGTTCCAGGTCTGAGGATATTTAAAGGGATCACTTTTTTTTTTTTTTTTTTTTTTTTTTCTTTTTTTTTTTTGGAGAGGATTTTGCTATAGGGCACGTGCACTCGCCAGAAAGACAGAGACAGACAGAAAGTGAGAAATCACCCCCCCAGGGGGGGATAGCCACGCCAAGATCCCTTCTCCTCCATTCTCCTCTCAGGATCTTGGGCACCCATGCACACGCGCCTGGCGTGAGTTTAAGCCACTGGGGCTGGGACTTGAACTACGGTCAACTACATGGTAGTCCAACGACATAGCTATTATGCTTACTGCTGGTCCCGAGGATTACACTTTAAGATGAACTGGCTATCTGTGTAACCCTAAGATGTACTTGAGCCCATGTCTTGGTGAGGCATTTGTCTTTCCAGTGACAAGAGTTATTTCCAAAAAAGGCTTAGACTTATTTGGTTTTACAAGAGAAAAAGAATGAGAAATCTCAAACAACTTAGGAGTCGCAGGGAAAGGGCCAACGTCCAAAGTTATCACTTAGTACAGGGATTTCCTGACCGAGGGTTTTGCATGTCCATCTTCTGTATGCACCTGTACATTTTCCCCACCAGACAAGACCCACAGCTTCCATCAGATTTTCAAAGAAATCCATCATCTTCAAAATGCATAGGAACCACTGACTTAGATGGTGAAATTAACAGCTAAAGAGAGATACAGTCCCTTGCACTGGTGAGGACTCAGGCTGACTAAAGCAAAGAGCCTAGAACTAGTGAAAACTCTCCTGCTTTGTCTGAACTGGATTTGAGTTCAAAAGGAAGGAGACCCGAGAAGTCCAGGACAGGAAACAGTGGACTCCTGATGTGGAAGCTGCTCTGCAGAAGTGGATACAAATGGGATAAATCCTAGGATGCCCCAGAAAACTCAAGAGTCTCAAATTTCATGTTCCAATCTATGTGAAGATTTCCCTTTCTGGGGGAAAAAAATCTATATATGGCCAGGTATAAAACAAAAGAAAAATTAAAAATGCATTAACGCAAGTCCTTTTTTACACTTTGTCAATCTTAATTATTTTGTTTGAAATATCATTTTTTTAATCTTATCAGCCAGTAACTATCATCCAGATGGTAGAAGTCTGAATTTAAAATACTATGTTGCAAGAGCTCAGTTTTGGGTAATATTTGCACATACAGACACAATTATTTAGAGACAGCTGAAGTTAAATATTATCCTTACCAACTGAAAGCACATATCTCACTAAAACATTTACAAAATGCTCACATAGGAATGAAAGAACATATGCATATAGCTGTTTCTCATGTGTACTAGATTTATAGAATAAATCAAAATCTCTAATTTTATTCAATGATCAGAGGAAAAACCTGATCTTTAAAATACCGGTAGTGTGAAAGATGGCATTTAACTATGTATACGGCACACATGTTCTTCAAAATACACTTACAATCCTTCTAATGTGGTTCCAAAAGCTTCATGATCCTCTGCCAATAACACTTCAGAGAAAAGGTTAGACAAATTATTTACCTGACAGGAAGAGTCCGATCCCCTTTCCTTCTGTCCATCTCTCGTTGGGGAACAGGATACCAGCGAAAATTCAGCTTCCAGTTGAATCCACCGTAAGTCATATCTGAGCCTGCCATGTACTCAAAAGTATCGTCACTGATCACGTCAATGATGGGGCATACTACTGTTTTCCTAAAATTATAAAAGCAGATGATAAAATCTTTCAAAATGTTACAAACATTATAGTTTTAAATATATATATATATTCTATAAAGTTAACACACAATGGTGAAAAAATTCCTGCTATATCCTACACAAAATTAGCATTATAATTATTTATTGGTGGATACTCTTTCACTTCCTTTTCATTCATACTTTTACATATTTGCCACATGTAAAAAAATACTTAGTATTGGGGCCAGCAGGTGGTGTGGTGGTGAAGGTGCTGGACACTCCCACATGGCTGATCATGGTTTGAGTCCTGGACCTGGTGGCTTGCTTTCTCACTTTCCCTCTCTCTCTGTGTGTGTCTCTCTCTGGCCAAATGAAAAGGAATGAATGAATGAATGAAATTGAATAAATAATTTTAAAAAATACTTAGTATTATATACTTTGTAATTTAAAGGCAATGAATTTATTTTTTTTTTAATGATGGCTTAACTTTTTTAAAAAAATTGCCTGAGGGTGTGTGCACTGCTCAGAGAGACAGAGAGAGAAGCAACTCCCAGTGGGGTATGTCCATGCTGCAATCCCTTCTCTGCTATTTCTCTGTCCTGTCACACACACATGTATCTGGAGTGTTTCTGAAACCACTGGGGGTGGGACTTGAATCGTGGTCAGCCATGTGGGGTCAGGCTCCCTTAATCACTAGGCTGTGAACTTGACCTAAGGTAATGAATACCTTTTTTTAGAATTATTTCATTTAATTTATTTGTTCATTTATTTTAATTTGACCAAACACAAAAACACACAGAAAGAAAGAGAGGGAAAGTAAGAAAGGAAGCCACCAGGTCTGGGACTTGAACTAGGGTCAGCCATGTGGGAGTGTTCAGTGCCTTTAACCACCATGTCACCCACTGGTCCCTGGTAATGAATTTCTTAATAAACACTGCTGGACATTTGTATTCTTTACAGAGTTTTGTTTTGTTTTGTTTTCTTTTTTTGTAATTAAGACATTTAGTAGGACTAGCCCCATGGTACAGTGGTTAAGCACTGTGCACTAGGAGTCAGATCCCACATGACAGACTTAGGTTCAAGTTCTGGCTCTGGTGGCTTGAAAAACATGCCTGGCACATGACCAAAATCTTGAAAGGATGAAAAAATGAAAGAAAAAGGAGGATGGCATGACCAGACCCCAGTGGACAGTGCTTTTTCTCTTTCTTTGTCTTTATCTCTCAAGTGAGCAAATGTTCTGCCTAGAATTAAAATGTAAAGAAACACTAACTGGGGACCAGCAAATGGCATAATGACTGTATCACTGGACTCCCACATGGCAGACCATGGGTCGAGTCCCAGACTTGGTGGCTTGAAACTCATGCCAGGCAAGTGTATGTATATGTCCATTCCCCCTGAGGTGTGATTTCTCACTTTCTATCTCTGGTTTTTTCTGTCTCTCTGGCAAGTGCACACACCCTAATAGCAAAAATCTCTCTCTAAAAAAAAGAAAAAAGAAACATTAAATGAACATGTTCATGTACACATGGACTTTTACTTTCTTCCTTAAAGAATTATTTTATTATTTAATATTAATTAATTAAAAATATTTGA